TCTCTGTGCATGCTTTTTGAGGTGGGGACCATAGACCTCCGTTATATGACTGACAGACACGAATCTCTCCATTTGTTGAAAGCTTCCCGATGTTGACTCTCGTCTCATTGTGACGCCTGACACTAGACATAAGTTTCGTTTTCTTTGTCTTACGTGGAGTTTGTGTTGGGGTTTGGAATGAACTACAAGCCGGATTCCTTGAATCTATCTTCTACTTTTGTGAAAGTTGACCTAAAGTTTTGTCGCTCGAGTTGTCTTCGCTTGATACAGAGAATGGCGGCGAATACAACCTGCCAGACATAGCCAGGCGAGCGTGAACGCGATTGAGATCACTCCCAGTCTCAAATCCCATCCCGAATCCCTCTTATTTATTTTACTGTACACAGTTATAGAGGCAATTGCAGTGATCAGAGCAGGGCTCATTCAGCCCATCAGGCAATTGTTTAAGCATGTATGGGTTAGAAAAACAGGTATTTTTAGTTTGGATGAGTTTTAAAGGATAAAATGGAGGGCTTTAAACGCTTAAATTATTGACTACAGATGACATTTCTGTCAACTTCTTTGTTAAATGAATGACAACGATTTGTTACAGGTTGCAATTTCCTGTCAGGTCAAATACAATTGCCTCTGCCCTATTTTAATAGCAGTTTTTACACATTTGAGTTATATTTCATAAAATAAACAGTGCTCAATGTCCCATATAAACTACACTCTAAAAAATGTTGTTGGTTTAACTTAAAAAAGTAAGTAACCTGGTTGCCTTAAAAATTTTAAGTTGATTGAACAGGAAAAAGTGTGTTAATACAATGAAGGAGCTTGATTTAATCATCAGAAACTCAAAAAAATAAGTTATCTCAACTAAATAAATTATTTAAGTTGATTTGACAACAGAAAAAATGTTGTGATAACAAATGTTGAAAATATATATATATATTTTTACAGTCTATACAAAAGATCCTAACCTATAAATGCAAACCTATAAATGTAGGCCTAGTGTTTTTACACAGTAGAGGGATCTGTTTGATTTCGAAAGATGAAATTTGGAAAAGTTTACTTAAGCACTGAGGTGTACTGAAATGTCTCATCTTGTGTTTTTAACTTTTTATTAAAATGACTATTTTAGTCAGTGGATTAAATATAGGTTTTGATGAAAGCATACCATGGGAAAGTGGTCTGTGAAGTTTGTTAACCTCATGAACCATGTAGCCAAGAGGCTGAGAGATTTCCATGGTAACGCAAACTCGCACCATGTGATGTCGAGATGTGTGGTTTAAGGGAGCAAATTAATGCCTTATGGCACAAGTCAGTCTGTGAACCAAGGCTTTATTTCAGCTATGAGTTTAACATAAGTACTCAATCGCTGTGAAGTTGTTAATTTCAGTACATTTCAAATCTCTTTATGTAATAATTGATTAGCACTTAATGCACTTAAAAACTTCAAAAATGAATGAAAATAATTCACTCTCAGTATGGGAGAGAAAGAGGAATGAGTCGGCTCTTAAAATCTGAAATTAAAGAGCGAGCGCGCAGACCCGGAAGACCATTGGGAGTAAAATTTGTACATCCAGCACTGTACTTGAGAAAACATGAAAACAATCAAGTTGTTCCATCTGTCTGTTGACAGTGTGTTCAACCCCCTGCCTCACATGCTACGTTGCCCTAACGGTGTGTGTGTGTGTGTGTGTTTCGGACGAAAATCAATACATCCTTACCGTCCAGGTAGCAGCAATGTTCTATCTTGACTGAACTCTAACTCCCTGACAGTAATGTTATTTGGAGGTAATCCAGTGTTATATATTAAAGCTTTTTTTCCCCCCTCTATATACTTCGATGCCAAATCAATCCCTTTCTCCAAAGTAAATTAATAATGAATGTCCTCTCTTGTTCATGTCACAAGGTAGCCAGAGGGGGCTGCAGAAAGATTAATTTTCAAAACCGCACTTGGTTTGATACTCGATATATTTTTGCCCTCCACAAGTACAGTGGGAAAGGGTTGATGTAATACTAGCTGAAATAGAGTTGCAACTGTGTCTCTATTGCAACGTGGACTGAGAATGAATACCCAAAGTAATTCTAAACTAACTAAAAAAACATCTAGCAATAACATGATGACATTGCATGAAAAATTAACGCTTTGTAATCTGTACTAGGATGAGAATAGTCGAGCATCCCATGATGGTGCAGATCCCAGAGCGCATGCATTTCGGTGTCAAAAAAACGGACGAGGGCCGTGCTTGTTTATTCCGGATGCTTAATTTTCCCCGCCCTTGGATTTTCAGTGCACTGAAAGGGTAGACACTTTATTTGGATTAAAATGGTTTGCTGTCTGCTCTTCTCTGATAAGGGAATAGAAGGCGGAGTTATTTATTAATTTATGTATTTGTTGCATTGTGCTGATTCAGTGTGGCGCTATGAACACGCAGCTCAGACATGCTCTAGTGGCCGGAGATGCTGCACTACAGGTTTCCAGAAGGTTCTGACTGCTCAAGGTTAAGACTGATTGGATTGGATTTACCCTCAGTGTCTTACCAAGAGGATGTTATTATAATGCACAGCATTTTATGGTGATGCTGTAAGTCATATTTTAATATGATGGCTGAAATAACAATGTGCAGTCCCTAGTGCACATGTATTTAAAGAGATAGTTCACCCCACGATTAAAATGACTTTGATTTAATATAGTGTCTACACCAGATTTTAGCGATGAGACAAAAGCAAATAGAAGACATTATAATCAGTGATGCTGTCTACACTTAAATGCAATAATGTAAGTGCACTTAAATACTTAAATGTAATTAACTACATGTACTACTATAGAGTTAGGGTACGATTAGGGTTAGTTGCATGTAATTATGCCTATTTTCTAGTTAGCCTAGTACGTGTAACAAAGACGCATCAAATAAAGTGTTACTGGTCAAAGTGCAATTTCAACAACAAAAATGTTATCATTGTTTAATGAAATTCCTCCTAGTTGTTTTTGGTATGCTTGTGATTGTTCTGATTTATCTTTTCAGTGAATATATTGGATAAATTAATTTTGCCACACAAAACTTTTAAATGGCTTCAGAAGACTACTTGTAATATAAAGATTGTCCTTTTTTGAACCTTGACAGCCTTTGTACTCTACATGGTTTCTATTATATTGACCAGAAAATCTGGACAAAATTTTCCACACTGAACAAAAAGTAAACATTAATGGCAAATCTTTTGTCTTTGGGTGAACAGTTTCCTTAAACATACAGTCTTGCATAAGTGCAGACTCAGTCGTCTGTGTGTACCAGCCGGCTGTTTGAACAGCAATTCTGTTGTTTCCTGTATTATTTACCATATCATCCATGTCTACATGACGAATGTGTGAGAGCTTTGCTCTTTGATCCCATAAACAATGTTTCATCGGGGTTTCGTTCAATTACCGGTGCAACAGCTGCTTTTGCTTTGCATTTTTTTCTTTTATTCCAGCCAACTTTGAATGCCCTTGAGTGTGCTTAGTTACCCTGTTTGGCAACCGCGTGCTTCACATGCCAGCCGACACGTATTCTCCTTCTATTATGGGTCGCTCGACTCTTACTTGCTTCACCTAGTAAGTTTTTTATTGAAGCAGGTTTTTTTTTAAACTTTTTGATGGCACTTTTTGATGACCCCCCCCCCCCCCCCCAAAAAAAAAAAAGGCAGCCTGACCCATTAACAAACAAAAAATGAATATATAAATACTGTATATATTTCACACACACACACGCTAATAAACTGTGTTGACACTTAATTTTGTATAAAATGTCATTTTTCCGATTTGCGATTTAAGGAAAAAAAACCTGCATAGAGCTGCTTTAAGAGGCGATATTGGACCGGCATATCATCAAAATGTCTGTAAAACGAAGCCTCTGTGACCGGCACCATTTTTTTCTAGCGGAAACTCTGCTTTATAGAGAAGAGCAAGGGGAAGACAGATTGGAGAGGGGCGACTTTAATATTTCTGCGTAGGATGCCCTGCAGTGTATTATGAACCCGTCCACAGGGAAAAGGCTTGATCTTTCCACTGATCTCCAGCATTCTCATTTAGTCTATTATAAGATGAGGTAGAGGCCAGTGCCGCAGTTTCCACTCCCGTGAAAACGAACGCCTTTGCTTGTACCCGAGTACTTCTGCCCACCTGCCAAGGGAGAAAAAAAAAAAAAAAAAGACACAAAGAAGCACATTTACCACATCTGTCCCTGGTGCTTTGGATGTTGCCCTGTAGAAGCTAAAGTAGTTGAGCTCTGTGCCTCTCACTGAATCGACTAAAATGAGCGCGCAGGCATTATGACTATAATGGGCTTTAATGAGCATCGAACGCCTATTATTCGAATGTGTGCCAAAGATTTTTGGGCTGTGATGCTACTGGAGATAAAACAAAGATTGCATGAAAATTGTCCCTGCGTTTTATTGAATGGTTAATCAGGCAAGTAATCAATTAAGTGCATGATTGCGCTTGATTTTAATAGCACAGTATATGAAGAGGCCCTTTTTGGCCTCTGCTGCTAACTGTTAGGCATAGCTGTAATTAGACACAGCATGTCCTCATTTAAGTAAGGCCTGTAAGTAATTAGCATCTAATTCCATTATATCCGTTATATGGAGAGATGGCGTTGTCTTTAAGTCGAAAGCACTGAGAGGCTGTCCCACAGCCAGTTTAGCTTTAAATATTATCTGGGGGTCACTGAATTTAATAAACCCAATCTTCAGGAGGGTTTGGGGGTTTGATCGATGTCTAACCATGTTGTTCTTCCTTGCTTAATGTCCAGGGAATACATTCGCACTCGCTTCCGTAACAGATGCAGTCTTCCGACGTACAGTACCAGGGGGACTATTTGAATGAATGCTAATGAATTTCTTAAATGATGAATTCCTGTGCTTTAGTAACAAAGGGATACACTGGTAACAATTCAGAGGGGAACTTTGCTCGTAGCGCACATGCTAATGCTAAGGGTTAAGGAGTCTCTCTGATTCTCTCTCTTCTCTTGTAGTTGCTCACAAGGGGACTTTGTGACACACACAGCGTGGCTGAACAGATCAAGTATACTGTACGCCGGAGAGGATAAGTGGTCTGTGGACCCCCGGGTGAGTTTGGTTACTCTGAACCAAGATGAGTTCACCATCAAGATTGAGGATGTGGACTTGACAGACGAGGGCCTATACATCTGCGCGGTGCAGACTAGCAGCAGACCCAGGACCACTTCAGTGCACGTCATCGTTCAAGGTCAGTTTTGTGATGTGTCGCGGTGTAGAGCACTAAGGATGAATGCTTTTATATGCTTTTGTAAGTGAGCACTTGATCCAGAATTGAAATACTGTCATCATTTTACTACTCACGTTTGCGTCGTTGTAAAAACTCTATGAGTTTCTATCATCTTTCTGAATGACAAAAATATTGCAGAATATCCAGAGTGCCGTTTTCTATAATGGGGATTGGAGCATGAAGCTCTAAAATGACAAAAAGGACCATAAAAGTGACACAAAAGTAGGCCATTTGACTTGTGAGCTGTATTTCTAGTCTTACAAGAACCAATCATTTTTCAAATCTCGGATGTCAAACCTGGTGCGCTGTGTCCTGTTGCATCATAATTGAACTGAACCTTAAAACGTTAAACAGATTTCCTCCAAATAACTACTTAGATGTTGGTCTTTACATCATATTAAGCCATTGTATGACTTCAGAAGACATGCAATATGTACACTGTTAAAAGATATTGTTGATTTAATTAAAAAAAAATGAAGTAACTTGGTTGCCTTAATTTTAAGTTCATTGTAATGGAGAAAATTGAGTTAATACAATGAAGGAGATCGATTTAATTGTCAGAAACTCAAAATATTATGTTATCTGAACTACATAAATTATTTAATTTTATTTGACAAAACAAAAAATTTTGTGATTACAAATCATGAAAATATTTTTTACAGTGTAAAGATGTATAAATAAACATTTGTTTCCTATTAAAAAGTAAAGGTCGCATTGTCACATTAGCAAAATTTCACTAGCAAAAACGCCCATTGTCAATAGTGTACACAAAACACAGCACACACACAAGTTACTTTCAAACCATACCTGTCAACACTCCCGTTTTTCCCGGGTTTCACTCCATCACCCGGACCCCTTCCGGTTTGTTATTTCTCCCAGGAAACTACCGTAATTTGCATGGCCCAAACTCCTTTATGAATAATTGGACCATGTTATGTTATATGTTGGTCAATATGTTGACCAGTTGCCAGATCTTGTATTAAATGCATTATATTCACACAATCCACACTCCATATGCAATTTCAACCGTGTGTCATCTCAACCTGGCAACCCATACCCCAGTTGCGCAGTCGCGGAAAGCTAACCCGTAAGCAAGCAAATCACAACACCGTTTCCCAGATTTTGAAAACCAAATGCTGACAGCTAAGTTTCAAACCAATTAGCTTACATAAATACAATATCTGTTTATTTTGTATTTCAAGTTAAACAAAGTCATACAAGTTTCATACTGACCATGAGTGGGCGAGCAAATGATAAGTTTTCATTTTTAGGTGAATTGTCTCTTTAATATGCTTGTGTCTGAATGTGTGCCCATAGTCTGTGTGTTTGTATAGGTGTAATATCATTTCTGGAGGCCCTTTCTCAGTATCGGTTTGAAACACCTTGAACTCCAGTTACGATATTGGGTATTTTAATGAAGTGGATAATTATGTAATTAATGCTGATTGTGTAAAACCTTGGGGGTGCATTTTTTTTGCTTCTGATTTGTGGGTCCAGTGTTAATATGATTGATGGCAGTGTCATTCCTGTGCAGTGATGCAGTAAGTCATAACAGTGCCGACTGGAGGTACTGTACACTGGCTAGAGATTTAGAGCACAGCAGCTCACCACTGCAGAATTTTAGCTTTCGATGCAAAATTCATTGAGTAATATTGTGGGAAATTTGTGATGGTCTTTTTTTGGTAGTTAAATGTTCATTCTGACACTATTTCCCCACTGAACGAATGATAAGGCCAACAAAATATGTTGTATTTGGCAAACTCATAGTAATGGTGGCTCCTAACCAACATGGTGTATCAAAATAATTTGTTAAAAATAAATGGGGAGTCATTCTACATGACAAAATGAGCGTTTACCCATCAGGCTTTTTTTTCCACAAATCTTAACCCTCTTTGGTATAGTATCAAGTTTTAATTTGATCTAATATTTTTTCCATAATATTTTTGGACAAAAATAGTTTGAATGTGAAAAAAAGCTATTAATTGTTCTTAATACATGAAACCTTATATTAAAAGTAAATTAAATGTAAAATTAAAAGTAAATTAAATGAAACACTTCAAAATAAATTATTAAATAATTTATAATTAATACCAAAAGTCCAATTTTCAAAGTTTCCTGCAAAATGATGTTACACAAAGTTGACCTGTGGGCAAAAACATTAACATATATAGTCACCACATTATTGGTTTATTTAAAGTTTTCCCTTTTAATTGCAACAATGCATTGTGATGTACTTTTTGTCCTGAAAGGCAAGCAAGTTGAGGGAAAGCTATAGAACCTTGTTTCCACCACTTAATAAAAATAATAATAATAATAATAATAATTGCGACTTTTAATCTCACAATTGCGAGATATGAAGTCAGAATTGTGAGAATTAAAGTCGCAATTGTGAGAAATTAAGTCGCAATTATGAAAAATAAAGTCGCAATTGCGAGATATAAAGTTGCAATTTATGAGAAAGTCGATATAAAGTCGCAATTATGAGAAATAAAGTCACAATTGTAAGAAAAAAAGACATAATAACTTTATAACGCATAATTGCGAGTTTATATCTCGAAATTCTGACATTTTCTTAGAATTGTGAGATATAAACACGCAATTGCGAGTTATCAGGCCAATTCTAAGGGGAAAAAATGCTAACTTACAAATACGAAAAATATTAAAATAGAATTCTGACTTTATAACACGCAATTCTGACTTTATAACACGCAATTGTGACTTTATATCACACAATTCTGACTTTATATCTCGCAATTCTGCCTTTAACACGCAATTGCGACTTTATATCACGCAATTCTGACTTTATATCGCGTAATACTGACTTCCTCAAAACTCGCAATTTTGAGAAACAAAAGTCTGAATTGTGAGATAAAAAGTCGCAATTATTTTATTTTTCATTCTGTAGCGGAAGCTAGCTTCCATAGAAAGCACGACAGACCAATGAGAATCAAATAACCCAGAATTTTTTCAAAGAAGTCCAGTTATTAACTTATGGCTAATGGTTCAGACCTGGATTTGTGTTAGTTGATCAGCTGTGGTTAAATCTTTGTTTGTTGTAATTAGCCTCACTGACACATGGTTCTGGGAGAGTCTTTGATCTATAAAGGAAGAACTGTACGTTGGGTTAGATGAGTTCATACTTGCGTCAGTGGAGAAGGCCTCTCAAGACATCATCAATTAAACTGAACGTGAGATCAAAGAATGGGCAGAATTTGGGGAAGAGCTGCAAGAAATATCTTTCACATCTATGGAAATTGTATTAGTGGTGTTTGCAGAGGCAGGCATCACTGTTGCTCAGACTCCAGTTTAAGATTTGAACTCATGTAATACTGTGACTTCGTTCCGGACTGTTGTGCTTCCGACATGAATTATAGCTCAAAGTAGGTTATATGTGGGTTTGTGAGAATAGGTTTGCTATTACGTCTATAAGTTCTGTAAAAATACAAAGGAGGGAACTGATACTGTATGTTGTAGTAACTTTCTGAATTTTACATTTTAATTGAAGTAACAACTGAAATTCAAAGAAAGCCGTTGAAATCCAAAGAAATTTACATCACTATGGTTTTTGTCAAAGTTTGTCTAGATAATCTGAAAAAGGGCTGTCACTAACGATTATTTTTGTAATTGAGTAATCTGTTGATTATTTGAAGATTAATCGAGTAATCTGATAATGCATTTTGTGGTAATAAAAATAGACCTAAGGGAACAAAAGCCTTTCAAATTATGTAAAATACATTAAATAACAATGAGGCAATTGGTTCAAAAAAGTACAAAAGTGATCTCATGGTTTTATTGAACAAAAATGTTAAAATACATAATGTAATATACATCGTTTATAAAACGGTTAGTTCCAATCCTTGATTCTGATTGGTCAATAGCTATGCTTTATTCATTTTATACACTGTAAAAAAAGTTTACAAAAGAGCAGGGCATGGGCATTTTTGAGTTTTCTCCACTTAGGGTCATTAGTTGTACAAACTTTTTCATGTTAAATAGTTGAATAAACTTTAAAAACAGAATTTGTCAAACAAAATCTAAGTTGGAATTTTTACATTGTATACACGGCTATGTTTATATTAAAACACTGCTATGACCGCTTCACCCAATGGTTCTATCTATCATTGCGCAACACTGCAGTTCCTATGTTGTTTTGATGAGCTTTCATGCATATTACACATTGGAACGTTGTTGCTGTTCATGGTCAGGGACTATTTTTTCCTAGCGGAAGGAAGGCTTTTAGTGATTTCACTTCATGAAAGTTCCACTGATACATATATTTTTTTACTTTAATATTTTTATTGTGTGGTAACCGTTTTATAAAAGCAATAAGGTACTCGAGGCACGTGCTGTATCGCGAATAAGTAACAGCTGAAGGGGTTACTACGCTTCGCGTCGTGCCTAACAACGCCCTTCAGCCGTTTCTTATTCACGATACAGAACAGCCTCTCGCACCTTATTGCTTACGAACTGTCAACACAATCAATTTATGTACATTATGTATTATAACAAATGCCTGCTGAGGGAACCTGGTGATTGTTACACTTTACAGCATGATCAAATCCTTGTTTAATAATGACCAAACAACATTTCTTTCAAAATCATCATTTTAAGGAGCATGCTGGCAAGCACCCCTCAAATTACTCCAGAAACGTAAAAATCTACTTTTCGTATTAAAATATCAAACAATCCTGTGCAACAATGATATCAAACCCTTTCAGTTAGCATCAAGACATGTTTTGCTTTAGCATTCCGTGTAGCATAATCGGTCAGTTCAAGCCCGAGCATTTAGCAGATCCAAGTCATCTGCCCTGTTGCCTTGGTAACATAGTTCCAGAATACTGCCTTGATTGAGAGTGTGAAAAGATGTTTCAGCACGGAGGTCAGATTCTGCACAATACCTGGACATAACGGCACACTGCCAGACATACAACCATAAACCACAGTAACTAAACAGCACATAG